AGTTGACACACAATGTTACATTAGTTTCAGGTATAGAACATAGCAATTTGACAACGCTATACATTATGCTTGCTCACCAGAAGGGTAGCAACCATCTGTCACAATGCCATTACACTATTAGTGACTGCATTCCCTATGCAGTACCTTTGATTCCCGTGACTTATATATTCCATAACAGGAAGCATGCAGCTCCCACTCCCTTTTATCCATTTTGTCCATTCCCTCACCTTCTTCCTTCTGGCAACCATCAGTTTGTTCTCTGTAGTCACATGTCTGATTCTGCTTTTTTGTTTATTCATTTGTTTTCTTTTTCTCTGACTTATTTCACATAGCATAATACCCTCTAGGTCCACTGATGTTGCAAATGGCAAGATCTCATACTTTTTTTTATGGCTGATTACTACTGAGTATATATACACCACACTTTCCTTATCTATTTGTTCATTTTTGTTTTTTGGATTCCATGTATAAGTGAAATCATATGGTATTTGTCTTTCTCTGACTTATTCCATCTAGGATTATACCCTCTAGGTCTATTCATGTTGTCACAAATGTCAAGCTCTCTTTCTTTTCATGGCTCAGTAATACTCCACTCTGTAATATTCCAATGTATCTCTTTTTTTTTTAAAGCTTTAATATAAACCCCAGCTAGTAAACATACAGTGTACTACCAGCTGTGGGTATACAATCCAGTGACTCAACACCTATACATAACACCCGGTACTCATCACAACAAGTGTACTCCATTAATCTCCATCACCCACTTCATCTATCCTCCCACCCACCTCCCCTTTGGTAACCATCAGTTTGCTCTCTATAATTAAGAGTCTCCCTGGGGCACCTGGGTGGATCAGTTAAGTGTCTGCCTTCAGCCCAGGTCATGATCTCAGGGTCCTGGGACCAAGTCCCACGTCAGGCTCTCTGAGCAGCGGAGAGTCTGCTTCTCCCTCTCCCTCTACCCATGCAAACCACTTGTGCTCTCTCTGTCAAATAAATATATAAAATCTTAAAAAAAAAAAAAAAAAATCTCTTTCAAGGTGTGCTCACTCTTTTTTCCCCCATGCTCACTTGTTTTGCTTCTTAAATTCCACACGAGTGAAATCATATGGTATTTGTCTTTTCTGACTTTTTTCATTTGGCATAATTCTCTATGCTCCATCCACAACATTACAAATGACAAGATTTTGTTCTTTTTTATGGCCAAGTAATACTCGTGCGTGTGTGTGTGTGTGTGTGTGTTTTCATTGCATGTGTAGATATATATATCATACCTTCTTTACCAATTCATCAGTCGACGGACATTTCATCAGTGTTTTATAGTTTTCAGAGTACAGGTGTTTCACCTCTTTGGTTAGGTTTATTTCTAGGTATATTATTTTTGGTGCAATTGTAAATGGAATTGTTTTCTTAATTTTGCTTTCTGCTACTTCATTATTGGTATATATATATATGCAACAGATTTCTGTACATTGATTTTGTATCACAGGACTTTACTCAATTTATCAGTTCTAGAAGTTTTTTTGGTCGAGTTTTTACGGTTTTCTATATGGAGTATGATATCAGCTGCAAATAGTGAAAGTGAAAGTTACTTCTTCCTTACCATTCTGGATATCTTTTATTTCTTTCCTTGTCTGATTGCTGTGGCTAGGACTTCCAGTACTATGCTGAATAAAAGCAGTGAAAGTGGACATCCTGGTCTTATTCCTGATCTTACTCTTAGTTTTCCCCCATTAAGGATGATGTTAGCTGTAGGTTTTTCATATATGCCCTTTATTATGTTGAGGTACGTTCCCTCTAAACCTACTTTGTTGAAGGTTTTTATCATGAATGGATGTTGCACTTTGTCAAATGCTTTTTCTGCATCTATTGAAATGATCACATGATTCTTATCCTTTCTCTTATTGATATGATGTATCATGTTGATTTAAGAATACTGAACCACCCCTGTAGCCCAGGAATAAATCACACTTGATTGTGATGAATGTTTTTTTTAATGTATGGTTGGATTTAGTTTGCTAGTATTTTGTTGGGTTTTTATGTAGGGATATTGGCCTATAGATCACTTTTTCAGTGGTGTCTTTATCCGGTTTTGATATCAGGGTAATGCTGGCTTCACAGAATGAATTCAGAAGTTTTCCTTCCTTTTCTATTTTTTGGAATAGTTTGAGATTAGGCATTAACTCTTCTTTAAATGTTTAGTAGAATTCACCCATGAAGCCATCCAGTCCTGGACTTTTGTTGGGAGATTTCTGATTACTGAATCAATTTCTTTGCTGGTTACTGGTCTGTTCAAGTTTTCTATTTCTCCTTGTTTCAGTTTTGGTAGTTTATGTGTTTCTAGGAATTTATCTATTTCTTCCAGGTTGTCCAATTTGTTGGCATATAGTTTATAATATTCTCTTATGATTGTCGGTATTTCTGTGGTGTTGGCTGTTATTTGTCCTCTCTCATTTGTGATTTTATTTACTTGAGTCCTTTCTTTTTTTTCTTGGTAAACCCGGCTAGGGGTTTATCAATCTTATTAATCTTTTTTTTTTTTTTTCAAAGAACCAGCTTCTATTTTCATTGAGCTGGTTTTTTTGTTTATTTTAGTTTCCATATCATTTATTTCTGCTCTGATCTTAATTATTTCCTTCCTTCACCTGATTTTAGGTTTTGTTTGTTATTCTTTTTCTAGGTCCTTTAGGTGTAAGGTTAGGTTGTTTGAGATTTGTCTTGCTTCTTGAGGTAGGCGCCTGTATTGCTATAAACTTCCCTCTTATGACTGCCTTCAGGTGTCCCAAAAGTTTTGGACCATCACGTTTTCATGTGCATTTGTTTCCATGTAGTTTTTCCTTTCTCCTTTTATTTCCTGGTTGATCAACCATTCATCATTTAGTAGCATGTTGTTTAACCTCCATATATTTGTGGTCTTTCCAGATTTTTTCTTGTGGTTGACTCCCAGTTTCATAGCGTTGTGGTCAGGAAAGATGCATGGTATGATTTTGATCTTCTCACATTTGCTGAGGTTTGCTTTGTGGGCTAATATGTGATCTATTCTGGAGAAGGTTCTGTGTGCACTTGGAAAGAATGTGTATTCTTTGGGTTTAGGATGGAATGTTCTGAATTTATCTGTTAAGTCCTTCTGGTCCAATGCGCCATTCAAAGCCACTGTTTCCTTGATTTTCTGTTTAGATGATCTGTGCATTGATCTATTACTGTATTATTATCAATTAGTTCCTCTATGTCAGTTATTAACTGTTTATGTATTTGGGTGCTATGTGGGTATATACATATTTACAATTGTTATATCTTCTTGTTGGATTGTCCTCTTTATTATTTAGTGCCCTTCTTTGTCTCTTGTTACAGTTTTTGTTTTAAAGTCCAGTTTGTCCAATATAAGTATTGCTACCCTGGCTTTCTTCGGACATCCATTTGCATGGTAGATGTTTCTCTATCCCCTCACTTTTAATCTGCTGAATGTAGCATATAGATGGGTCTTGTTTTTTTATTCATTCTGTCACTCTACGTCCTTTGATTGGAGTGTTTAGTCCACTTACATTCAAAGTAATTATTAATAGATATGTATTTATTGCCATTTTATTACTTGTTTTGTGGTTGTTTCTGAAGATTTTCTTTGATCCTTTCTTTTCTTTCCCTCTTTCATGTTTTGCTGGTTTTCTTTGGTGATACATTTAGATTTCTTTCTCTTTATTCTTTACAAGTTTACTAGTGATTTTTGATATATGGTTACCATTAGTTTGTATATAACCTCTTCTGCATGTAGCAGTCTATATTAAGTTGATGGCTGTTAAAGTTTGAACCCATTCTTTTCTCCCCTTGGTCTGAACTCCTTTTAGTTTTTGTTTGTCTGGGAAACTATCTCTCCTATTCTGAACGATAGCCTTGCTGGATAGAGTATTCTTGGCTGCAGATTTTTCCCATTATGCACTTTGAGTATATCATGCCACTCCTTTCTGATTTGCAAAGTTTCTGTTGAAAAAAATCCTCTGCTAGCCTAATGGGAAAATCCTCTCTTGTTAATGTTATGACAAACTGTAAAGCTTAAGTGCTAAAAATCAAAATAATGCTTTTTACTTCACTTCAATACCCAAACTCATTTGCATATTGATACCACCACAGATATATTAGCAGATTTTTCCTTTGGATAAGTCAAATAAGAAGTTGTTCTAGGGTCAAAAGAAATAAGGCATCTCTTTTTTAAAAATGGCTAGTCTAGGGGTGCCTGGGTGGCATAGTCAATTAAGTGTTGGACTCTTGGTTTCGGCTCAGGTCATGATCTCAGGATCATGGGCTCGAGCCCCACTCCCAGCTCTGTGTTTAGCACAGAGTCAGCTTGGGATTCTCTCTCCCCTCTCCCACTGCCCCTCCCCCCCACCCCTCTGTGCACACATGTGCATGCACGCACACACTCTAATAATTAAATAAATCTTTTTTTAAAAAAATGGCTAGTCTAAGAAATTTCCTATTTTGATGATGGTCCACATTTTGAGGATGAAACATGAGAATATCCTGTGTTAAAATAGAAGGGCCTCTATGTGTTGCTGTAGTTAACAGAAATGGGCAAACTTTACTTTTTACAATGCAAAAATTGGAATAACTTTATTTTTTTTTAATTTTTATTTTTTTAAAGATTTTATTTATTTACCTGACAGAGAAAGACACAGCGAGAGAGGGAACACAAGCAGGGGGAGTGAGAGAGGGAGAAGCAGGCTTCCTGCCGAGCAGGGAGCCCGATGCAGGGCTCGATCCCAGGACCCTGGGATCACGACCTGAGCTGAAGGCAGACGCTTAATGACTGAGCCACCCAGGCGCCCCTAAAAAATTGGAATAACTTTAATTTGTGCCATTAAATGTTCTAAGAATTCTCTCATGTTATCCATAAGATTTCACAAAATAATAACAATGATAAAGCTCTGAGATGTTTTCCTTTAATACGTGGTGTCCTTGTGCTGCAGAACATTAACAGTTTTAATAGATTTGATTTCTATCACACTTACTTTTTTGTGATAAATGCTACAGAGTCCTCTCTCTATATCAGGCAGTTTACGCAGATGATTTTCTATCTGACTAAACACACTGGATTCTGAATGGAGTACTTCAGATACAGCATCTAGTCGAGCATTTATCTCCCTGTGGGAACAGAGTAGTAACAATTGTAAGATACGTTAGGAATTCAGAATAGAGACATTTCCCACTCTTATGCCCAGCACTGTGACAACAGCTACTTAGAAAAACATAAAGGGACTCCTCCTCCATACCTCTGGCCCTTCCTAACCCCCATTATTTACATCAAAGAGCAGGTACCATACAAGGAAAGTCATTAGCTAGGTGGAGCAGAAACTGGCTCATTAGATTTTCCATTCCTCCTGGGCAAACACACAGACGACATTTACCAGTCAGACCACATTTCCCAGTTTCCCTCTGCAATTAGGTATGGCCATGTACCCACGCTGTAGACAATAAAATGTAAGCAGGAATGATTAAGCCACTTCTGGCTCTGGCCCATTAAAACCCTCTTGTGTGATCTTTCACATCTGTTCTTTCCCCAGCTGAATGTTAGGCCCCAAACAATCTTGTGAGGCACCTGAAGACTCTCTCAGCCTGGGTCCGTTAGTGGAGCAGAAAACCCATCACTCCCACATTTGCTACCAGGTGGACTTTACATTAGCAAGAAATAAACTTTTATTGTATTTAAACCACTGAGACTGAGGATTTATTTGCCACAACTGCTTGTTTTACCTTGGCTAATATAACAGATCTACAAAGGGCAACTCAGTTTTCTAGTCCGACTGAAATGACTGAGCGTCTCAGTCAAAAACCAATTCATTCATTCAACCAACTACTTTGATGGAAGACTTGGTGGTGGTGGCTGAATTGATCATCTGTTTTAGTGGGATTAGGCATACTGAGCCTGAGCAAAGACTCGGAGCAGTAACAGAAAGTACAGAAGATAAGACATCAGGAGACAGGGGAGACCAGGATTTCATCAGTGGCTGCACCATAAGTGATGGGCAGGCCACTGGAGAGGAAATGGTGAGGCTGTCAACTTAAAATGGAAACTGGATTGACTAAATGTGCCCTAAATGGGATGTGGCGCACCTAGTGCCTATAAACACCAAAGGCCCAGACTAGGTATGATGGCCATAATGTGGTATTAAAGACTGAGATAAGTAAACATACCTAGTAGATAGTGAGCCCTCAGTAAATGTTTTTTTGAATGAAGAATGAGCAAACAAGCAAATGAAAGAATGAACTGACACTTAGGGCCAAAGGGAAACGTGAGCTACTGAATACACGTTTGTCTAACAAAGTTCTGTTGATATCACACACATTGACGTGAAGGGCAAGCCTTAGAATCCTGCCTAGATGACTGTTAAATTGAGTACTTCCCAATTAATTGAGTGCTTTTCTCTTTATTATCCTTCAAACTACTCTGTGAGGACATGCCTGTTCACAACATGCATACTAAGTTGGCTTCATTTTTGTTTCATTTTTCTCTGGCTCATACTCTACTATGTAGAACAGGCATCTGGTTCAGCATGACACAGTAGAACACACCTGAGCTTTGTAGACATACACACTGGTTCCTCCATTCTCAGTGGGGTGGCCTCTTAAATCAATCCATTTCTTTCCATCTCTACTACTGCTACACTAGTTTAAGTAAAAATCATTTCTCACACAGACTACAAAAAGAGCCTCCTAACTTTCCTGCATCCACTTCTGCCCCCTTTTCCAATCCAGTCTCCACACTGTAGCCTGAGCGGTCTTCCAAATCTGTTCAAGTCTTACCTTTGCTTTCAGCTCATCAATGACTTGCCAATAATCTTAGATGCAAATCCAGATTCTTCCACTGACCTACAAGACAACTGGGCCCTGCTTACCTCTCAAGTCTCCATTCAGGCCGCTGCCACTCTCTTCCTCTCACTGTAAGTTTCACTTAGACTGAAATGGTTCCATGTTTTGGTCACTCCCAACTTCTCTGATATCAGGGCCTCCTCATTTGCTGCTCACTCTGCCTTGAAGACTCTCTTCCTCTCTCCTGCTACCTACCAGCTCCACTTTGTTTGGCAAACTCCTATTCACCCTTCTTCTGAAAGAGCTTTTTGGACACAGCAGACCAGATTTAATCCTCTGCCACCCTTTTCCACACAACCCTCTATTGTCTTTCCATAGTGGAAATCGTTGTAATTGTATTTACTTCTCTGTCTTTTCTGCTGGACTGTAAGCTCAGTGAGAACAGGGATCATTTCTTCATCCCCACAGTTCTGGGATTACAATATGTGTTCAAAAAGTAGTTCTTGAATTCAGTTCAGCTCAATTCCGAAGACTACATATAAAGTAAATCAAGATGAGGTGGAAAAAAAAATTAAATTTTCTTTGCATAGGATTGTTGTGATAAAATAAATCAATGTTTTACCCTAACGTTTACCCAAAATGCTATACAAATATAAAGTTTTATTTTAATAACTCACTCCTGCATAAATGAAAGATAACACCAATTGAAACAGACTAGGTTCATGCTACAGATGGTATGAGGACAGATAAAATAATACCATCTGTGAATGTATAAGACAGCCTACAAAGATAGCTGCTCTCTCAAAAATTATAAAGGTTGTTGGAGATATGGAAAGATAAAAGCAAAACAGGTTAATAAAAGCCTAAGTCATATTTATGAAATATTCCAGAAGATTTTTTTTAAAATAGACATAAAACTACAAATTTCTTAGAAAGAGACAAAAAAGGATGTGCTAAGCTGGTCTGCAATCTGGAAAAATACAAAGGTACTGGCTTTTTATTTTAGCCTAATGACAGCACAGGCAAAAGCATATTTACTATGCATCATTTTCGTTTTAACCCAGCCTTCATTGGTTAGGGAGCTCAGAAGTTAAAAATTTGGGCAGGTGACCTCAGTTAAAATCCAGCCTCTACCATATACCAGTTATTTAGTCTTGCCCTAGTTTCTCCATCTATAAAATGGGAATAATAATGGTCTCTAACTCAGAGCTGTTACAAGAATTCAATGAAATAATGCATGGCAAACAGCACAGTGCCTGGTACATAGTAAGTACTCAATACAGATTAGTTGTTAACAGTGATCTTTATTTGCTGATACAATCTGTTTGGTAGATACCACAAAGAACAGCACGGGGTGGGGGAAAGAGCACCCAAAATGGTTAGTAGGCTGCACTGAGAATGCCATAACGCATTACAGATGTTTAGAACAGGCAGGAAGAGAGTGAAAGGGTGGGTGACACTGTTTACTACAAACTTCTCACCACTGGGGGAGCTATAGTTCTATTTTTATCTCCGATCTGCAGATCAGAATGCAAATTAGTAAAATGACTTCTAATCAAGTTTTTTAAAAAGTTTGCATATCCTGTTCTTAGCAGCAGTAACAAGACTTCCCAAATAACTCTAATAAAACAGTATGTCAGATTATACCAAAATAGAGAAAAAATATCTTGGTGTAATCAATAAGAGAGATTCAATGATCATGACAGTCAACAAAACAAGAAGTAGCATTGTCAAAAAAAAATGGAAGTAGCACTGTCAACGAGATGATGGTAAAAGTATTTGTGTCAAGATGCCCTATAGTATTCTATGGTTGATCTTACAGCATGACACATTCCAAATGAAAGGAAGGCCCCTGAGTCATTTCATTCCATGACAAAAAACAATGGACTTGAGGTCCTTCGATGACAAAGATTCTTCTTTACCACCAAAGACCCAAGGACTAAAAGTGGGTGTCACTGGAGTCCTTCACATTTGAAGATGAATTGGGCGATGACGCCAGTATATGTTGTGTGTGGCTGTCACTCAGGAACACAGTACATAACCCTACTACAGCTGTTGCCATTGTAAGGACATGTGATGAAGTCTGTACCTGCTGGTTGCTATTTGTGGAGATGCCTCTATCATTGTAACATAAGGTTACTTGGAGGGTGAGGCGGCGGGGGCGGGGGGAACTAAAATACAAACTACTGAGGAGAGGTGGTTTTATGTGGTGTTTGTTCTGACTTTTCACTGAAAGGTTTGCTCTGAAGAGTTGTTTGTGGGGTGCCTGGGTGGCTCAGTCATTAAGTGTCTGCCTTTGGCTCAGGTCATGATCCCAGGGTCCTGGGATCGAGCCCCACATCAGGCTCCCTGCTCCGCGGGAAGCCTGCTTCTCCCTCTCCCACTCCCCCTGCTTGTTTTCCCTCTCTCACTGACAGTATCCAGGAACCATCCAGAGAACAGAAAAAAAAATCTTAAAAAAAAAAAAAAAAAAAAAGTCATTTGTGTTTGTTCTGACTTTTCACTGAAAGTTTGGCTCTAAAGACAGACAATACAAAATGAGTAAATTAAATGCAGACATTACCATGCTGGCCATGCACTACGGCTCAACTAACTACCTATACAGCTTTCTAATAGAAACATGAGAGGGCCTATGATTACTTGGATCTCCCTAGAGTCATAGACATCATTCACTGGTTCATTTAATGAAAAATTACCAAGTGCTTACGAAAGTACTGACTATAGAAGTAGCACAGAAAGATGTACGGGAAGATGGAGGCTGAAAGTGTGAGACTGTGACAGCAGGGGCTAGGCAGCCAGCCAGCATACGGTCATGTGAGGGACGTGGGCCACACAGGAGCTGGGACTTTCCCCTGAGAATGGGAGCCCATGGCTAACGTCTGAAAGGCAGAGGACAGTGGCAGGAAGACTCCAGGGGAGGGATGCTGATGATCTGAACTGGGTAAAGGATAGAGGGGTGAAAAGGCACATAGTTTTAAGATACATTAAGGAGGTCAAGTCAACAAGGGTTGTGACATATTAGATAAGGCAAGGCAGGAGAGCGAAGAAGGAATAGCTTGAGTAAGGAGATGAGCTATGAGTCATCCACAAATGTCATTATTTTATTTATTTACAAATTACATTCTAAGGAGCTATTCTGAATATGTACCTGTTGCAAATTATAAATCACCCAACAAGCTTTTGAGGATTTTTATTACTCCTGTTCGAGGGATGCATCATTTTAGGAATAGACAACAATTTACCCTTTTTGGAATATTAAACAGAACAATTTTCTGACAGCGACCTTCCATCACCAGTTTAGAACATCAACTTGAGTCTTTGAAAACACATGATAG